CCGCGAATCAAGTCGGGGCACGGGCCAAACTCCGCAAGAAACATCTCTCAACTGACATGGCCGGCTTGTTCAACCTCGAGTTAAGGAGCAGGTCTGGCTTGTTGGAGGACTCGGCAGGCTGGATCCGACTACTTCTTACCCATCTGGTGCTTATCATCACCACAAGTCGTGGCAACGCCGATTTTCCGTTAGGGTCCTGCCAAGCGTGGAGACTACTCCATACCGGACTGATTTCAGGATATGGATTTTCAAATGGTAGACTTCAGTTTGCCATTGGGGAGTGGAGGACCCAAGGACTTGAACTAACAAAGGTGGCTGCGACAGGAGTCCCATTCAGCGGAATACGCAGTGGCTAAAAGATACTGTTTTGCCGCTGTACCGGCCAAGGCGGTCAAATGGACATGTCGGACTGATCCCATTCAGTCATTCAGTAATAATGCCGTGCTCTCTACGCCATTTCAACATGGGATTTACATCACACAGCGACATGGTTGTTATGTCGACGTTGCGGCGCTTACTGCATCACGTTGAAGAAAGCAAAAAGACGGTTGTGGAGATGTCGAAAGATGGACACCAGGCTCAAGCAATGGGTGGTCTATGGGAAGGACAAGGGCCGATTGGCGACAAGACAACATGGACCAGTGCCGCCACCCCCACCAGGATTTATTAATAGTCTTGCTTGCGCCGACAGGCGTCTTGGTGGAAGGCCCAAGGCGACGCTGCGAACACGAGGTTTCCCGACACCTTGCCCCATTTCTTCCCAGGCGAGGATTTAGAATTTTTCTGCTAGTCGAGACTTTGTCCATCGCATATTACTCGACAATGGCCTCGTGGGCGTTCTGCGCACAAGCACGTGGAGGACCCTTCGCGCGCCAAGCCTCACAAAAACCCGCGTCTCGTATCCTGCCTTTGAAACATATGGTGGGCTTTCCCCCCCGGCTAGGGTCCCTGGTCCTCGCTCGAGTGAAGTCATATTGTGCCTATCCAGCGAGACACAACTGACAGTCGCACACAAATGTCATCGAATCGACAAACCGATCTAATAGCTGGCCGATGCCGCATAGCAATTGACCGTTGCAATCGGCCCAACTGCAAGAGCACTTTCCAAGATGGGTAGCGATTCGCGAACCCTGGCGAGTGGGTACATTTCCATGCCTCCTGTTCCTTCTAGTTGGGAAATCGAAAATGATCTACGGAGTACTAGTCCAGATTACTCGGTACAATTTCTAACAAGTGGACCGGACGGTACCAGTGCCAGTGACGAACAAGTGCTGAGGATTTTCGCCAATCTTCCGTCTGGGATGCTAACCAGACCCGCCATTGTTCTTGGTTTCTTGGCCCATTGCGCCGTTCCATTTACTAGTCCCTCAATGAGGCACCTGGAGCGGGCATCTGACGGCATTAGTGGCCGAGGAACAAAAACCCAGGCCCAGGGTGGATGATGGCACTTACACGCAAAGGGATGGGAGGCCCCGAGCCGAAATGGGTATTTATATGTGACACTACCGGTTTTCTTCAAGGGCGTGTTACACTCTCTGTTGATACTTGGTATCGTCATATGCGTGCGCTTTCTGTCTCATCTTCTCTGGGGCTTTCCTTTCCACGAATCTTACTTTTCAACAATATTCTTTTTCGCACTCGTTGGATCCTTGGTTTGTAGTGACTCTCCTCGGGCGCCGTTTTTGCGACATCTTCTCTTGCCATCATCTTTTATTACGGGCACGACTGTCTGTCCAGCTTTGCTAGAACGGACTCAGTCTCTCTTGACTTTACAAAATCTTTGCAAAAGGATAGTAATTTCTGTCCATACAACGTCTCAGCATCAATGGCTTCCTTCGCCTCTTCGGCCGCCACTGGCACCCATCTCCAAGTTCCCGCCGCCGCCTCTTCAGTCCCCGTGCGACCCAAGTTCAACTCTCGCCTCACTTCGGATCGTCTTCGTGAAGGTGCCGGGCTCTACCTACCGCCTCTTTTCCAAGCACCCAGCACCAACATTCGCAAGGGACGTATCTCTGTCTTCAAAGAGACGGGCCTCGATGACTTCGCTGTTTCTCAAGTTCCTGTTGGTGACAAATTCTTGGGTGTTGGCACTGCGGTTCGGGATCGCTCGTAACACTCGGGCGACGCGGTTTTCAGTTCTTTCAGCCCAGATGGTGTCACAGCGCCGCACCATCGATGTTCCGCACTGAGGAAAATGAATGCGGGGTGACTGGCCATTCACGTAGCTGCAGGGCGGCTTGCGAACTGGACTTTATGCTCGTTTCATCAAGAGTCTTTTTCATTTGCTGTTTACGAGTATATCTGAACCAAAATACGGTCTTTATTCGCGCTACTTTCAGGCATTTACAACGTTATGCAGTGTTTGCTGCACACCATACACTACTACTTGCTTAATATTTAATATCATGATGGAAGGAAGATGCGATTGCGATGGAATGAAATAGTTGAAATTGGGAGGGCAGTGGGCCGAGTACATACATATACCCTGTTTGCGGAGCAAACATTATTCGCTACGGCATTTGTATTTTAGACGTCACAAAGGAATTGACAGCACATCATCAGACTTGTCCAGTTGTCGAACCGCGTACCTTGGCATGTCCTATTGGCTCTTCATGGCATCTGTTTCGGCATGGTGAACGGAATCATCCAGCAAAAAGAAGCTGAGAGTGGCTCGGCGAATTTGCATTGTTTACGCCTCGCGAGATGAGCGGAATGGACGAACCAGCTGACACTTTCCACACCAAAACTACCTGGGAAGCGAAGGTCAATGCCATCTACTACATGCAGCAAAGGCGAGCAAGCTAGTCAGTTCTCAATAGCTTCATAGCCATCACTCTGTCCAACCACTCAGACAGCACAGTGTGAAATAGTAATAACCAAAGCAAACTTGATTCATTATCATACAAAGCACACATCTTGTTGTAAAGCAAGGTTCAAAGATTATCATCCATCCACCTGCCGCAGTCCATCAACTGGACCATCACATTTCTCGTCCGTAAACGCCAGTTTACAAGTAGTACGATTTCGCTCTTGTGATTTTGCTCCTTCACGCCTCCCCCGGCGGCGGGACACTGGGTCGCCTTGTAATTTTTTTTTTCCCTCTAGTATTCTACTCGTCATCGCCAATCTGTGAAATGCCCACAGTCAGCACCATTCTCTCTCTCTCTCTCTCTCTCTCTCAAACAAGGGGAAAAAAGGCGCTTTTGAAGCACGACATACCTTGGGCGCCAGGTAGAAGCGCAGATAACTGGTACCAGCCACATTGTACTCGACCAACAGGGGAACCTCGCTCGACAGGCAAATCTTGACCCCGGTCGACAGCGGGGCGGCCTTGCAAAAGTTGACGAGGTACTTGAGAGAAAAGGTCAGGGACACGGGCTCGACGAGCTGAATATTGATATTCAGCTCGGGCTTCTCGAGGTTGGTGGTGCTACGGAGGGTGACGGAACCGTTGCCAATGTCGCCGTTGCAGGAGAATTTGACGCCGTCCTTGTTGGCCTCGATGCTGACTGCACACACGCGCGCGCGCGCATTGTTAGCAAGACATGTTCTCTCATATTTTGTTGCGTGGGGGGAACGTGGGCGGAGGCAACACTTACCAGACTCGGACATGGCAGCGAGGTCGGTACAGATTCGTCGAAACTCGGCGGCGGGCATCTCAATGGTGGCAGCGTACTCAGTCTGCGGAATGCCCAGATGCTCCTGGTCAATATCCATGAGCTTGAGGTCATACTCGCTGATTCTGTCGGATTCGCGGTTCTCAAACATCAAGTTCAGGACGTCGGGGGCATCCTCGGCCTTGAGGGTGAGTATGTCCTCGTTCTGGGCAGCGCGCAATACTTTGGTCAGGGACGTCAGGTTCACGCCAAGGGCAATGTTTCGATCGCATCGGTAGGGCGAGAAGGCCTCGGCCTTGAGCATCATGGAGACGAGAGCCACATGAGAGTTGTCCATGGCCTGCAGGGCGATGCCCGAGTCATTGCAGTCAAAGTTGCAGTCCTGGACGAGGTCCTTGATGGCGTCGACGACCTGGTAAGACATTAGCGAGAGGGAGGGCGACGCAGCAGAGCGTGAATCAGAATGTACCCTTTTCAGGACATTAGCCTGCTCGAGTCGTGCTTCCAACATCTCTGCCAGACCATTAGTAACGATGCTAGTCCCGTCGAAATCGCCTAATAGAACGTACTGTCTTGATCTGTGCGAAGAGCGGGGGAAGGGGGGGGTTCGGGGCGGTGAAGGCGTGAGGTGTACCGCCAAGTCAATATTCAAACGAGGGCGAAAGAAATTGGAGCGGAAATTCGTGAGAAACCCTGATTGCGATATCACAGAAATGGGTTACGGAGAATGGGTCACAAGGTCAAGTGTGGGAGAGAGGAGGAAGCAAAAGCGTGCAGGACGTGGCAAGCGGGCACTCGAAAATCACTTAACACGCGAGGGAAGCTGTGGGTAAATCGAGACGCGTCGTGGCGGGGCTCCTACGTCGAATCGAGTTCGCACTCGGTTGTGACGCCAACATTACGCGGGGCATTTTGCCTAGACGTGTTAGCTCTTGGACCCGAAGCAGCATCAACGACTAGTCCTTGTTTGGCCTCGTCTGGCTTAATCTTCTAAAGTACATATAAATAAAATCTGCCGGTATACCATGTAGTAGACAAAGTAGATGCAGCCCATCAATATGGCTGGCGACAGCCGCAGGTTTTACACAGTCAAACCGCAGCAAATACTAACTCTTTTTCGTGAAGCAGAATATTTCATCGGCATTACAGGGAGAAAAAAGCACAAAATAAATAAATAAATAAATGAAACCCGATTGCAAAGAACGTATCAACCAGCCTGACACCTATTCTGAACCGTCATCCCATGAAACCCTGACATTGCCAACTTGCGCCTAGATTATGCATGTGCACCGTTTTCCCCATACGATGCAAAATGAAAGATAGAAAGAGAGAGAGAGAGACGAAAGAAGCCCCAGTCGCCCATTTACAGCCGCTCAATGCTGTTCACATGGAGACAACTCGGTTTGATGGGAGGGCGCTGGCACGCGTCTTGGGCCGCAAGTTGATAACCGTCTCCAGCTCGCGGAGCATGCCCCTGGTGGCATCCATCTGTTTTCGAGCCTGTGCCTTTTGGTCGCGCTCCTCCTTCATCTTGACAATTCGTTCTTCTCTGGTGAGTGAGCTCTTTGGTCGCGGGTGTGCCACAGCCTCGAAAACCTCGGGCGTCTCTGGCTCATTCGGCTCATTCTCGTCTGAAGCGGGCGGTGATTCGCCCGTCAGCGCCTTGAGGGCATCTTCTGCGGTGCCTTCACCAACCGTCGTCAGGCCGCTGAGGGAGCTCCTGGGAGACAAGAGCGTGCTCATAGATGACAGTCTCTTTTCGTTTCTATCGATTCCCAGAGCCAGAGCAGCCCTGCCCTCCTCCCACGCAGACATGAGTTCCTTGAGGTCTGCCCCAATAGATTCGTATTGTGACATCAAGTCTGGCGCTAGTTCCGAAATGTCGTTGGAGTCGTCTAGCGCGCGATCGGATTCTTCTCTCAGCAGGTGCAGCTTGGCCTGCAAGCCTCGGATGCCCGTGGACAACGAGTTCAATTTGCGCAACTGGGAGCGCCAGCGTTCCCTGCCCGGTGTTAAGGGACCCTTGGGAGTAGGAGGAACAGGGAATGCTAGACAGATCAGTAAACACCTTTCTTTTTGAGTAAGAGACTGATGGGTCGCATAGTACTTACATTCAGCTTCGCTCAAGATGCCCTGAAGCTTTTGGAACGCAGCCCGTGTGGATTCGTTGAGGCTCCGAAGCACTTCGACCGCCGTTGTCCACCGGAGCAGGTCGGATCCCTCGCCGTTGGCATCCAGGGCCAACAAGGCACACAGAAGCATTTTGCGCGTGATGTGAAACCGTGCAGCTAGAATCTTCAGTGTCCGGAGTGACTCGGCGTCCTCAAACTCGCCCTCGCTGAATCCTTGCAGAGCATCAGACATGTCCAAGTCGTTGATGTCGTACATGTCATGGTACTTTTCCAGCTCTGTTTGCTCGGAAAAGCCCTGGATCAGATTTGCCATTTGCTTGTAGGCATCTAAGACATCTACGAATGAGTTCTTTAGTGCCCTTCGCAGGCGGACGCATTTTCGGGCCTGGTTGCGATCCTCTAGCCTGGTAATTGGAGGCAATGGGGCGCTGCTATCAAAATAGTCAGCACCATGTGATGAAGACCCGGCAAGAAAGGGGGGGAGTGAGTGTGAGAGAGCGAGTGAAAGATGGAGAAAGAGGATAGCAAGTATGAACTGGCGGCTTCGTACATTCGATAACCACGAGAAACAAGCTCTACTTCCTGCACAAGCGACAATGTAGCTTCCGAGGCGCTATCGAAATCGCTGGAATTGGAAACAAAGGCGGCAATCTCGGCCAAGGATTGATTCCGTCTGTAGCGAAGCCACTGTCGTCGCATGTATACCTGACCAAGAAAGGCTGCGGCCGCGCACAAAACCAGGAGAAATGTCAGCTGTTTTCGCGTGACATATGAGGGCGCGTTTCCAAGAACCCAGCTTAGAACAACAGCAATAGCGAGGGCGCCGAGAATAGAAGCAAGAATCCCCTCGGTCGACAAAAGAGACTGGTCGTGTTTATCGTCGCTGTTCGCTCCTGACACGCTAGGGGCAGCAGGTCGATAACCCAGGATCGAGGTCCCGGTTAGCAAATGCGACGCGATGATGGTGTAGCGAAACTGCTCGAGAAATTTGGAATTGTCGGCACGATCGATGCTCGCCACAACGGCAGCCTGTGGAAGGAAATCGTGTCAGTTGGAAAGGCGCAAATTTCGCGATATACCCTCTGCACTAGCGAGAGGCGTTTGACCGTACCGAGCAGTTCCTCCTAATTGATTGCAGCCTTGATGCCCCGAGGGCTCCGGGCACATCCGTCTGCAAGAGAGCTGGGGCCTCGCCTCGGAATCTCGATTTCACCATTGGTCGACCTGTAGGGGCAAACGGCGATGGACTTGGCGGCGTCGACGAGTCAAACTCTGGCGAGGAAGGCCGTGGTGAGGCGTTGACAGCGGCCCAGTCGGCCTCGGAGTCATCGGCTCCATCTGCAATCCCGCATACGGGCGTTAGAACGAGGCTGTCTTGGATTGGGCGAGATTGGACGAAATTGGACGGCGGGCTTACCTTTGAGGTAGTCGGCTAGAGGCGACTCTTCATACACGATGGGTTCCATGTAGCGACTCCTGTGGTGCGGAGTAGGAGAAGGACGGAATGACGTCGCAGAAGCGGTGACATGCACGGCATTGGAAGCACGAGGAATGCGCCCCAAGCCAGGTGAGGAAGTGCCTATTGCCGGAAGGAACCGTGGACAAGGAAAATGCGAATCGAAAAATAAAAAATAAAAAAAATAATAATAAAAGGAAAAGCAACGAGAGTAATCGGGAAAGGGTTGTCGAAGGGTTGTCGAATTGCTTGCTCTACAATACAGCGTGTCCCAATGACAAGCTGAGCAGCGCCAGTCGACAAAATCATTCAGGGGACGCTGGCTCATATCGATGATCGCAGGCAGGGACGGGGGTGCCTCCTTCCCAGGCGGGCGGCGGTGTTTGTGGCTATGCCCGGAACGGCAGCGCCGTGCTCTGAAACCAGACATTGAAAGCTCCGGGCACTGACGGTCAACTGGTGTCTGGTGGAGGTCTGTGTGACCCGTCTGCAGCTGCAGTGCAGACACATGCATGCTGAAGCTGGTGTGTTTCGCCAGCGGCCTGACAGGGATCATTCACTAAACTACGGGGACCCATCACCTATGTTGACCACCAGTGGAACTGCAAGACTAAAATCCCTGGTCAATTTTGACTTGACGCATGTGCCAATTTCGCCCATCTCCGCAAACAATGCGCCCAGGATCACGGCAACCGAAGGATGGAAAAAAAAAATTATAATAATAATCTAGCACAAGGGCGCACCCGCCAGGCACCTGTTTTCTTCAAAGACAAACGGCACATCCAGATGGCCATGCAGAGTACTCCGTATGTACGCAGAAGCAGAGGAGGTGGTTGGTCCATTGATTTAGCACGGAATAGGACGCTAGTAGATCGTCAGCCAAGCCGAGGAACGTCCAAAGATCATATGTGGACTCTCCACACTAGATCGTCGACCCTGGCGTTTCACGGGATTGAGTTCGAATTAGACTTCATAGCTTTTGGCTGGTCACGCGGCGTGTCAATTGTCGCTAGTACGTGGGTGAGGCCGCCGCAAGACTTGAGTGTTGTATTCAATTTAAGTGGCGGATGTCTTTAATCAAACTGATACTTTTACCAAAGTCCACGCTGTCACCACGCTGTCACCATGCCGACCCACCAACGTGTATGGTAGCATCCTCTGCGCTAATGATACGGGGCCCGACATCGTCTCTCACGTCTCTTTGCCCACGCCAAGGTGTGACAGCAACTTGTATGACAGGCTGGCGTTTGTGGAGAGGCAAGTGAGCCCGGCTTCGACTCAGGATTCTCTGGTTTCGGGAGAGACTAGAGGACGGTAAGCCGAGTGGCCAATTCTAGGCAGTGATTGTTAGGATACCTGCCATATCGTTGTCTGATGCTCGTTGAAAGTGAGGTTTCAAACAGTAATAGACATCGAAAACCAGATAGGACCATCCTCCAACAAGGTAGATGATAATAAAAAAAGAAAAAAGAGATAAAAAAGAAACCTGTTGTTATACTGGCCGCCGAATGGCGCCCAAGATAGTCTTACAACACTTATACCAACATTTCAGGAATTGGGTATGCCGTGATGTCGTTCTCTCAGACTTCGCTATGTAAACTTGCGGAATGGTGGGACAAAACGGCCTTGCAGATCGTCGAACCCGAGTTGCCTGTAGGCCGTCAAGCCCTTGGCGCATGATTTTGGCATGACTGGTACGGTTTACATTCTCACCGGACCATTTCTCGGACGTGGCGAGGAGTGTTCAGCGTTCTTGTAACTACCTTATTCATCGCTTTGTCATCTAACGCTACACGGTTCTCCGCCCGAAGATAACCAAGGTTATGAATGCACCAACCAAAGTGATTGCGGCACTGTTGAAGGAGCCGGATGGTGATCAAGCGTCAATGTTGACGACAATCCGATTATCAGGGGTCCTGCAGCGTCATAGTCTTTTTTCACATTTTTCGAGGCTGAGACGTCCTTCATCGAATAGAATTTCAATTTTGGCACACATTCGGCCGTGCTTCTGTATAGGCGAGAAGTTTCATGTTTCGAGGCGAACGTCGAATAATTAACACAGAAAGTGATGGTAGTGTTAGTAAGGCACCAGCTGGTGGTGACCCCACACAGAGACAAACTCGGAATATAGCTTTGCCGATCGCCGAAGATCAATTCAGCTCCGGATCACAGAGCTTCAGCAATAGTAAAGTAACACCATGGCAAGCTGGTGTACAGCTTCGCCGATCCTTGAACGCAATTCCCCAATCGATCCGGCCCAATGTCTAGGCGGCCGCCAGCAAAAGGGCATCGGCCGGCCATTGTGTCCAACATGGGCATTTGGGTTACTGACGCGATGCTTCTCCAGGCAGTTGAGCGGTACCAGCGAGGTGTGGTGGCATCATGTCGACGGATTAGTTCCCACGCAGGGCCTCTTGAGAGCCGTCGTCGAGCTACGAGGCGACACATGACCGGCCTCATGCCAACTTCTCACCCCTACCCCCCTATCTGGCAATTCGATGTTGGCCCCAACTCGTTGCAGTGGGAGGCCCCGACTACACAACAACACAGAAGACAAAAACGTGAGCAGATTAGCGTGTCGAATATGTTCAACAGCTTAATTGGTTGGCTCGAAAACGTGGGCTCTGCCGACAGGCCATTCATTTCACCCCCCAGCCAGCGATTCGAGGCGGGAGCCGTCTCTGCTGAGGCTCTGGCAATCAACCCAGTAGTCGAGGCTGTCGAAGTTTCCGACCCAATTCTACAAGAACCCGCGTCATCGCAGTATCTCCCCGAGGAAGTTATCAAGTTACGGTCCAGCATCTCCAGTTTTGACATTGTCGACAACAAGACTTTATTCAAACTAACAAAAACCTGTCGACAGTCTCTGCGCCGCCGAGTTGAGCATGGAGACTTGTCTGTCGAGGCTCTGTTGGCTGCCTTGGAACCGCTAGATTCGGCCTCAAAAAGTCGTATCCTAACCGCAGAAACGGCGGGTAAAATGCGCGCCATGATTCGGCGCTCGATCCTCTACGCCATGGTGGACACAGAAAAGCAAACTCCCCGGTCTATTTCCCCTGACCTCTGGTTGGCATTCGTAGGCAGGGTCTGTGCTAGCAATGGCGACAACCATGACATCCAGCTCTTTTGGGGGCTGATGGCCGCTTTGCCTAGCTCACTTGGAGAACAAGTACCGCCCGAGCAAATACGCAATCTAGCGAGCGCCTTTGTCACGGCCCAAGCCAACCGACATAACCTCTTTGGTCACTGGTCAGCTCGGGCGGCTAGGTTTGGTCAAGCCTTGGAATCACTAAACGCCAGGCAGCGCCAGGAGCTTGATGACGGCATGATCACATTTCTCCTCCAACAGGATTGGATTTCCGAAAGAGCCCGACGGATGCGGTTTTCCTGGCTGGTGATCAAATCTTACGACAGTCAAACGACCACCGATGAATTTATTCGGACCATTCATGCTTGCTGCGGCAAAGAGCTCCAGTTACACATCGTGCAGCTGTGGCAGGTCCTGGCCGCTCGACTTGGTGCTACCGGAGCGTTGGATAACGAGGCGCACAAGCAGGTCTTGCAAGACGGCTACAATACCTCTATGAGCCAGCGGTGGAACTCGTTAGTGGCTGCTGTCATGACATCAAGCCGCAGAAATTCGGCATTGCAGGAACTATGTACTATTTCGACCAAGACGGGTCAGTTTGATGCTGTGGTGCGTGCCCTGACGTGCAAGCCCGTGCAACTTTTGCGACGAGATGTCATGGAGGCACTTGCGTCTGCATGTGGCAACCACGAGCAAGCGCTTCGGCTTTACGACTCAATCGATCTAAGGCGTCAACCAGTTCGTAGACGACCGTTGTGGGGTTGGTCTGTATGGACCAAGTACGTCGAGCAAATGATCAAGGACCCGAATGTACACCCCATACGTGTCTGGCAGGTTCTCAACCTCACCTCCAGAAGAAATGGAACAACCGTGGAAATGAAAGCCAAGTCGCAACTTTTGGACCAAATGGGCCAGTGGTTCGTCGAAGCACAGCACCTCACTGACCGCCAAGTGCTGCGCAATGTCGAGAAATGCGTCTCTTTGCAGCGCGCCTTAACAGACGGCGTCACGTCACAGATGCTTGCCAACTTGACGGATATTATAACTCGAGATCTCGACAAGGGCCAACGGGGGCGCACTTCCCGTATGCAGTGGCTTCTGAGCATGGTAGCTCAGAACCAGGGTCGGGAACAAGCGGACAGGACTGCTTCAGCATTGAATGGATGGAGGGCGCAAATCGAACCGAGAGGCAGTGAGCAATTGTAAATTTGTCCCAGGAGTAAATACCATAAGGCCAATCCAAAGTCGAATATACTTTGTCGCAGTCGCAGTACACCTTTGTTCACACTCATTCTTGTACCCTGTCGTGTCCTTGTAGAGTAGAGTAGATGAATACTGCCGCCTCAACCGCCCATTAGCGAATCGTATTTACGAGGATTGATGAAAGAATCTGCACAAAATACAAGCACATGTGAATTCAGCCCTCAAGCATACCAAGAAACCGAAGAAAAGTCGGTGCCTAAATTACATCACATAAATACAAGCAAGAACCAGACATCCGAAGTCCATACCCAAGGAAAAGAGTCGCAGTGACACATTCAACCAAAAGTAAATACCAAAAAACACAACATGAGAAAGAAAAAGTAGAAAAAAAAAGAAAGGATATCGCAATCGCATAAAACCTTCCCATGTCCTTTGTTGAATCCATTCTAATGCCAATACCTATATTATCATCATTGCTTCGTAAGCAAACGAAAAAGAAGCAACATGATACCTTAGTTTGCCCCCTAAATGCTTCTTTTAATGTACGTTCCCCTTCTAAATTGCGTTCTTCATCAAGTAGACATGATTCATCATCACACTCAAGCCAGAGTGCCCGGCTTCTTTCTGAATACCAGCCCTTTGTGGCTGACTTAGGCTTCAGGGTGCCCCGTTGATTCTGTGACAAGGCTGATGCGGCTTCGTGCGCCGAGAGAGGCGCCGCCGGCTTCGCTTGACGGGGCGTAATGGCGTCTGCCCCTGTCATCGCGAGCAATGAGCACTTGTGCGGGACAGACGACAATCTTATCTTCGCCGATGCCATCGTCGTCTCCTCGTTTGACAACAAGAGGGAATAGGACTACTCGGACAACAGCTCCCTGGGATTCGAGCTCCTCGTTGGTCATGTTGGTGTTGCCGCTTCGCTCATTCATCATGGCGGCGTCAAAGGACACAGTGGTTGCCAATTCGCCGTCTGCGTCATACTCGGGCTGCAGGGGTGGGAGCATCATGTATTCTGCTCGCTGGGTGCGCATTTCAATGGACAGGTCCACTGCTTCGTGCATGACTCTGCGGAGCTGTGACAGGATCTGGCCTTCCAGGTTGGATGGTGGGGGCAGAATTTTGCAGAGAGTTTGGAAGATGGCCTGGACAACGGCTTCGGTATCAAGGTCCCGCTGGTCCTTGAAGCTGGCTCTCTTGGAGAGGAGAGTCAACGTGACTGCTCGCCACTGTCGAACGGCCTGCGCAGGACCGACTTCCGTCAGGAGCTTCTCCAGAGACTTGAGCTTTTGGCGCTGTTCTCGGTCCATGCCAAACAGGTACCTCGTGAAGACAAACTCCCAAATCATGTTCATCGACATAGACATGAAGATGTCCCGACGCTTGACACGGTCCCTAAGGTAGGTGTCGACATCGGTTCCATCCAACACGGCATTGTCCAGGCGGTCAATCGTCTTCTCGTCGTTGATCTCGCTGGTGAGGCGGCAGGCGCGCATGTCTGAAAACTTGGAGAAGCGCAACACCCACTGCTGCACGTGCGAACAGAGCTGCTGGCACCGGTGGTCAAAGTAGTCCTCGTCCTTGATGTTGAGGAACGCAGCATCACCAGCCTTGGACTCGAGGATCTTGCGCTGCATCTGGCGGATTTGGTCCTTGGCTTCTTCCAGCTTGGCGCGCAAGTCGGCGATTTCAGCGTCCTTGTCCCGCAACGACTGCGTGAAAGTAGTGTGTGCGCCACGAGCCTCGTCCAGCTCGCGGGTCATGTCGGCATAGCGGCCACTGTCCTTGCTGGCCAGCTCTGCATTGGCACTTGTGAGGCCCTCGTTGACCTCGGTCAGCCGGGCGACCTCGTTTTGCAAAAAGTGCAGTGATTGTTTGAGAGATTCGATTTCGGAGTCACGCTCGGAGAGGACGCTGGCAGCTTTCTGGCTCAGATTCTGTTCGGCATGCGTGCGGGCCTCGGTAAGCATACGGTTCTCGGCCATGAGCTGTTCGACCCTGGACTCGAGCTCGAGGACCTGCATGCTTTGGCGGCGGCGCATGCTGTGAGGGCGAGTGGGCGACCGCGGCGAGCCAATGCGGCCCTCGCCATAGCCGTCGTAGACGTCGGCCATGTCCTTTTCCTCGCCCTTGGAGCGGACACGACTCTCGTTGGCGACAGGCGGCGGCAGCACCTGGGAGTCAGCGACAGTCGCAATCGCGGGCGCGGACGTGGGCGTTGTTGAAGTGGAACTGGAGTTTCGTCGTTGACGAAGAGCTCGCAGGTCGCCGCTCATGCGCTTGTCAACACGCCGAAGTGGGGGGGTTGGGGTGGATCGTCTCAGCCCTTGGAGGCCTTGCAGACCAGTTATGCCTGGGCTTTCAGGCCGCAACCTGAGTGGCTCAGGTGTGCGCCGCCGGGAGAGGCTGGAGTTGGACACGGACCGACGCGCGACTGGCTCGGCCCGTGAAGACGGATCCTGCCCATCCGGGCCCCTTGTTGATGTTGCTGTTGCCGTCGCTGCTGCCGCAGCCTTTAATGATGGTAAAGAGCCTGATGCGTAGATGTAGGGGTTGTCGCTTACGCTTCGCCGTCCCGCCGTAGCCTTCTCTGTCGCTGGTTTGACAGCAAGTCCGGCTCCAGCTGCTACTGCTGCTACTCCAGCCGCGACGCCTCCCATTGAGGCTGCCTCGCCGTTGTCTCTTGTCTGGATCGTCCTAGCGCTCCTCTTCGTCTTCTTGTCCTTCTTCTCGGGCTCTGGTGTAGCAACTGCGGCCTCTGGTTCTGCCAAAACAGGGGTGGCAAACGGCGAATGTCGTAATCTCTTCTTCGCAGACACATCAGGCGTCTGCGTCTGTGTCTTGCCATCCCCGTAGTCGTCTGTGTGGACTCCGCTGTCCCGTTGCTGGTCGTCTGCGGAAGTGAGACTGCGCCGCCGCTGTGGAGTTGGCGACTCGGGGGCAAAGCCGCTATCGCGGTTCATCTCCGGTGTTGGCCAGTTGTACTGGGCTGCGATTGCCTCTGCCTCGGGGACTTCTTGAACGGAGGGCAGGCCTCTTGAGGGAGAACGCCTAAAGTCCGACTCTGAACCCATACTTTGTGACGTTGGCTCGGGTTCGGATCTCTCTTTTAGCAATCCACCAACTGGCTCGCCAACTCCTGCAGATCGGCGCAACAGACCTGCAGGTTCCTTTGATATCGTAGGAGCGGCGGCCTCTCCACGTCCCAGAATAGGGCTCTCTGCAAAATCGTCATTGAGCGGCACTCCATGCTGTGGTGTCTCCGTCCATCCTCCATCTGACTCTGTAAAGCTGCCGCTCATCGTCCTAGGCAGAACATGCTTCAGTTCTCTGGTATTCGCAACTTCTAGCATCCTCTCACCCTTGGGCACATCTTTCTCCTTGTTCCCTTCCTCCTCCTCGTCTGCCGCTCCGCCCCAGAAATTTTCGTGGAGTTCCGCATCCTTTCCATCATCCAGCGCCTTCTTATCCGCTCCCTCCCACAAGGCAGGGTCATCAAACATGTCATCGTCCTGTGGCCGCCTCTTATCCACAATCTTCTTCTGCTTCCCCTTTGTCTTCTTCTTGCCACCTCCAAACTTCTCAGTCAGTAAAGCTACACCTCCAGTGATGGCACCCGCCGTAGCTAGTGCGTCAGTCGTAGATAGATCTGACTGGCTCTTGGCTTTGTTATCCTTGACTTGCTCGCCGAGATTCCGGGACAATAGGGTTTCTCCAGCGTGACGGTCGCTACTTGCTGGCCCAGTAGCATCTCTGCAAACATCATCCGCAGACGCAATATTCTTGCCCGTGGCAGTTTCTTCGTACAATTGAAGAGTTTTCTTATCAATAACAGGCCCAGCAGAGGCTTCTGCAACAGCCTTCTTGCCTTTTTTCTTGGATTTGGGCGCAGAAAAGTCATCCGGCCATTCATCATCGGCAGCCTCTTCTGATTGTGCCTCGGCTGCAACAAACGATGGGTCCTTCTCTTCCACAACAGGGTCGTTTTGAGGAGAATTCATCACAACTTGGCTTGACTTGCGCTTCTTTTCTTTGTTGGACTTCTTTCCGGCCGGCACTGCGCAGGTTTCATTCGGGTTGGCCTCTGTTGTTACTGTTGCCAGTTCATCAGCCGCGTTTTCGGCGACGACCTCAGGTCTAGCGTCAAAATCTTGACCTTCAACAGAAGCCCCGAGGATAGTGTCGAAACCTCTTGTCTCGGGTACACCATGTTCCTGGTTTCGGTCCGCGTTCTCCGCCGAGGTCGTATTCATCTCCCCAGCATGGAGGCCACGATCCTCAAGTGTTCCACCCCCTACCACCGAAGTTGTATTTGGGAGTTCGTCAGAGGCAGACAATGGCATAGAACTGGCTTCCACAACATCCGGGAGGGTTATCGCAGCAGGCTCCTCTGGGGTAAGCTTGGGTTCTTGTTCGGGTGTCAGTTGTTCGTCGGTAGGAAGTTGGGCAGGGGTATCATCAACCGCCATTATTGGTGTTGTCGTGCCACTACCGGCCTCGCCCTTCTTTCCTATCCTGCCTTTCTTTGCAACAGCGAAACTCCAGTCCTCAGTGTCGTCATCTTCCGTGGGATGAGGCAGCTCTTCAAGCTCAAAAGTCTTGGTGGGTTCTACTGGCTCGGGAATGTTCGAAACACTGTCAATTCCAAGGATCTGACCATGAGTCTCCATCGCATCATTCGTGGTCTGCGGGGCCTCTGGCTGTTGGTCAGATAAGACGATGACGGGCTCATTGACTGGAGTCGTCGTGACGCTGCTTGACTTGTCCTTTCTGCCTTTCTTACTCTTCTTCTTGGAAGGCACCGCCCATTCATCATCCACTCCAACAGCAGTCGCAATCTCTCCTTCTTTAGCTGCTAGTTCGGCTTTCATAGGCTCAGTAGGCGCGAATTCGGTGACGAGGTGCATAGTCTCCGAAACTCCTTCGCCTCCTGCTAGCTCAGTAGGGGTCATTGTGCCACTGCTTGTCTTGCTCTTCTTCCCCTTCTTCCCCTTTTTCTTCGGCGG